CGTTTCTAATTGGTTTTGCTTAACGCGAACACAAATGAAAACTTTATTGTCTAATTGCTATTATGCTTGATTCCTTGTGGGATCGACCTTAATGCACTATATATTGCACTTTGGCCCATACACTTGCGGTGAAACATTTTGTGTGCATCAAAGTTGCATTTGATTATTTATCCTCATAGACCGTATGTCCACATTTGTGAATTATTCTGATAAATCCTTAGGAATTTGAGTTTTTAATTAATTGATGATTTCACACTCTAAAGGTTTTTTATTAGAAAATATTATTATTTTCATTTATGCATTTATTTAATATTTTGAATTTTCAATATCAAATGTTAAAACTGTTTATTCATTACAAATTTTAAGTTTCTTGATATTGAAGTTATATAGAACTTTATTTTGAGCATACAAATTTGTTTACATTGAATTACTTTCTCTTTAATTTATGTATATATTATAGTTTATTCATTTTGAATCTGTAAAATATTATGGTTGTGACGTTATTCACTGAAAATATTTTTGTTCTTAGATAATATAGCCGATGATCTACCTTCTGCTGATTTTGAGGAAACTCCTTGTTGAATTGAGGAGAAGACCTTTCGAGTATATCTTTCTTGTGCTATAAATGGTTAATTAGTTGTTATATTTTAAAATTATAATTAAGTATGCTCCACGTTAATTATAGATAGGATTCTGATTTAGATTGTATGTTGCTATTGTAAACACTTCGAAAAGTCCTATTTAAAGGGGAGATTGTGGCAAAAATTTTACAAGAGTTTATGAATCTTTTATCCATATAAAATGTCAAAATTTTCTTTCATTATATTTCAAGTGAATTGAAATACTAGATTAAAGTTTCCTTGATCAAGGCTTAAGGGATGTATATTTGTGTATATATCTTGTGCCGATCACGTCTAATTTTTGGGGCGTGACAGAAAGGTAAGTGCTAGATAGGTTTTTTGAGAGTCAAAAAAGTCTTGACGAAGCCACGGAAACACCCTAAACAAAAAAGAGTTTGACATTTAAGAAACGGATGTTTCGAGCACTAGCATGTTGTTTGAGTGGAGATCTGTTCGTGTGAATACCAGTAGAGGGAGCATATCTACATTGTCAGCTCCTAAGATTCAAACTCTTTAAAAGAACAAGTGAGGATATGAAACTTAAAAAGGTAACTCTTCTATCTATCTTGATTTAAATGAGTTCGTTCGGTCAACATGAGGATAAAAATTTTAAATTTTTAATCTTCCATTACGCCTCCCTATCTAACAATTTATGCCACTAACTCCACCACTCTCCAATCCATCACTAGTGAAGTTGACGACCACAACTGCTATGCAATCACTCATCATTTTCTTCCATACAACAATTTCACGGCCAAAGAGAGACAACCACATACCAAATGTCACCGTTATTATATGGGAGAATTAGTGTTTCTGAGCTGCGAAAACCCAATTCTTACTCATCTGTGTACGGATACTTGGAGCCTTGTACAAGTGAAGGGCCAAAATGCATTATTCTTATGTGCTGTCACCATGGTATGATCAAATATCTTATGTGGTAGAGTCATGCAAGTTAGATTTGATGGTGAAGGTGTCGCCATGGGGACCAATGACATGTAATGAGAATTGTTCATATTCACAAGTTCAATGTAATGACCTAAAGTTTAAATTACATAATAACAATAATAATGTAATAAAACAAAATAAATTATAATTATGGATAATTAAATTAAGATTTATATGAGGTATTTAAATGTATTTTTATAAATTTGAAAAGATATAACAAGAAAGATGAGTTAGCTTAGTGAAAACTAATTTGGTGTTTAACTTCCTGATTTAAGGTTCAAATCTTCAAGATAAAAGAAGAGATTATTATTGTTGTTATTATTATTATTATTATTATTATTATTATAGCTTTATGAAATTACCTCGTTAGCCTAACTTTGACTGGTTAGACCTATTTTTCCCTCTCCACCGACTTCTCTTCGTCTTGTATCTGGGAGAGAGAGCTGGAGATTTTCGATCCAAAAACTTCGAACCTTCAGGCCTACAATCTCTATTATTCTTCATCATCTGTCCTCTCCATCCTTCTTCCGTTGCTGTTCTGCTCGTCGGTGTGCTTGAGAACGTCCGATATGGTTCTCTCCGTCTTTCCTTCTGGTTGCTGTGACGGGTCGAAGACCTTTTCTCCTTTTATCGTCGGCGTCGTCTGTGTGGGAGGTAAGTCATCGGAGAGTTTGTGCATGGAGGAGCATTGTGTAGTTGCTGAAAGATGTTTCTGCTTATCCCTTCGTTTTCTTTCTTTGTTCTGCAATAACCAGAAGACTCCCTTCCCCTGTTCAGCGTGAATTTCAAATTTTGCTTCCTTCTTCATTCTCGTGTGGTTGTATGTACTTCCCTTTTCCTTGCAGTCGCTGAGCTGGTGTGAGGAAGCTATGAGTTGTGCTCTTCGTTCCTCAGCTATTTAAAGGTTCTATTTTTCTGGTCCTCCTGTACAGCATCCGATCTTCTTGCTCTTCACTTGCTTACTCCTCTCTGCTCTGTCATGTTGAATTAAGGTGTGAAGCTTCGAACCTTCTCCTTGTTTTGTTATGATTGTTTGTGTGTTTTAAATAGTTAAGATTGTGACTTATTCCTTCCTTCCTCTGCTGTCATGAGTAACGTGGAGGTGTAGATTTAATTTTCTTTGAGTTATGATTTATTTCTTTGTTGATGGAATGGAATTTGGGAAACTAATTGATTAATGTATTTACATTAGAGAATTTATGGGAAATGGAATTGAAGAGGAAGAACTTGGAACTTTAGTTTAAGACTGAATGCTTGTAAGATGTTCAGTAAAATGCCTATTAGGATATTTTTGATTGATTTTTATGTGTAATCTTGTTAATCTCACAAGAATCATGGCTGGGCTTGAGCATTGTTAATTTGTTAATCTAAACTGAGTTTTGTTAAGATATTTATCTATGGAATTAATGAGATCTTGTATGAGTTTTAAATTATTGAGAGCTATATGGTTTATAATTTATAAGATTTACTATCATTTTAAAAGTTATACTTGGATACTTGTAATTTGTCAAGCAAGAGAAGTAAAAGTTATAAATTTTTACTGAATGGTTTGGAATGTAGTACAGTAGGTGTTTAACAAAAAGCCTAAGGAAATATTATATTTCAATTGTTTAGCTAATTATAGTTAAGTGTTATGGAGAAATCTTTACATATGAACTATGTCTCTAAAACTTTGAAAAGTTATTATTGTTAATTTTGGTTGAGTGGGCTCTCTTGGAAAGGGATTTTGTTGGTTCAAAAGTAAAGTGTTCATTAAAATACTATTATATATTATGGAATGTTTGAAAGAAGGGAAGCTCAATTGGAGCTATAGGAAGTGAGTTTGAGCCTTAAGGATATTGCAGGTAAGTGAATAACGTCCCAATGACTCGTTAGCAAATTCATTTTCACAAAAATATTAATTTAGCATATTCAGGTGCCATCTCTTCTATTTATATAGCTATGTTTATTCCACAAGAATAAATGATAGAGTATCATAATTTATTTTATGATTCATGATCTCAATTTTGCTATCAACTATGATACATGAAAATGTTTTCATTATATTATATTTTATTATACTATATTTTATTATATTATACGTTATAGAAAGAGTTGGATTCATCCTTCAATTGAGTATCCGAAGTATCTGCTATTTTGGAAATGTTGATTTTATGTTTTGGAAACGTGTATGGGATTTATATACAAATGCATTGATTTATGTTGAGTTTGATGATTAATTTTAAAAAGAGATGATATGTTGATTTTAGACCTATGCATACTTGATTTGAAATGTGGGATTTAATTAGAACACCAGTTGCTAACGGCAGGACCGTTAGCTCTTGGCGTACCATGATATATCTAACTAGTAGAGTGCTTAAGAGGTACTAATCTTATGCGATGGGCAACACAGGTGGAATGGAGTGATGGTTATTCATGAACATAGTACTCATACTTGTTTTCGTGGGCTTTGTTTCTACGCTTGATTTCGTGAGCTTTATGCTCATGCTTGTTTTCGTGGCTTCGATCCACGCATGTTGGTTATTTACTCTCGTGAATTGTGTGTCCACGCTTATTAATTATTTTGATCAAGTTCGACTAAAGAGTTAATTTTAAAAATTAATTTTTTTACTTAAAATTTGATCTTTTGAAGCAAACTGCTATTTTTACTATATTAGAATTTTATATTGAGCTATATAATTCTCAAAGTGTTTAAACATGTTAATTTTTAAAGTGGAACTTGAGTTTCTAATAAAATTTTAATTGAATTCATACATTCATAGTTTTTACATTTACATAATTGTTGATAGGTATATATGGTATGTGCTATATTATTTTTAATTAATTTTTTTATCAAGTTTATAAGAAACTCATTGCTATACCTTCCATTATTTTCATTAATCGTAATTGGAACGTTATTCACTAAAAAAATTTTTGGTCTCAGTCAATGTAGCTAACAATGTGCATCTTGTTGATCACCAAGGAACTTTTTGCTGTGCAGAGTGGAGATTTGTTTTGTAAATATTATTTTTATATGTAATTATGAAATTTATGTATTGTGTTTTGAAAACATAATTAGGTGCTCCATATAAGTTATAGCTAGGATCCTTATTTTGTAATAACCTTGACAAAATTTAAAATAAATAAATAAATAGTTAACTTGCTTAAAGGGTGTTTATATTAGTTCTTGGGATAAATATAACAAGTTAGAGACTTGGTCTAGTGGTAGCTGAGCAATCCTTCATATATTAGGTCTCAAGTTTGAATTTGGAAGAGACCAAAAGAAGAGTTAATTTTTATCTTTTTCTGGCTATGCGAAATTACCAAACTACCCTTAGTTCCATCAGATTTTTAAACTCTTTCTTCCTTCTTTCTTGATTATTCTGGAGCAGAGGGAGAGTTAAGAGATTTGGACCAAACCATTGCTCTGTCACCATCGATCTCTGCCTTCTTTCGTCTTAACCACTACTCGTGCCGCTATTCGTGTGAGTCAACCATCGCCGGCATAAGCATCTATCGTCGATTTGTCTGCAGTTGGTAGGAGTTGGAGCTTATTTTCTTGCTACTAAACATCGGCCAAAACCTCTTCGTTCTTCCCTGCTTCTAGCTCACCATATACCACTGTGTGAGTCTGTTAGTGGGAAGGGAAGTACGCAAGATTCGGGGTGCTCGTTGGAGGTCTATTACTGAAATATATTTCCCTTGTTTAGCATTCAAGAATTTTCTTTTCTTCCCTCTGTCCATCCACCACTGTCCAGTATAACTGAGCTGAGAGAGAGATCTGGGAAGCACTGTCGTTCATGTGGGTCGCTGTTGACACTGTGTTCGTCCATTCGCCTCAGCTGTGATTTTGTTCACGAGTTGCTGTTGTTCATCCACCTCTGTCGCTGATTCAGCCCTTCTTCTTTACTGTTCAAAATCACTCTCCTTCCTCTGTCCATGCGTGTTGATTCATTTAAGGTTAGAAGCTTCAATCTCTTCCTTCTCCTTATAAATCTGTGCGTGTGAGTGGCTGGGGTGGTATTAAGGAGATTATAAATTTTTGTGTGTGTTATGTTGCTGCCATGACTGAAAAAAGAATGTGTGTGTGTGTGTGTGTGTGTGTGTGTGTGTGTGTGTGTGTGTGTGTGTGTGTGTGTGTGTGTGTGTGTGTGTGTGTGTGTGTGTGTGTGTGTGTGTTAGTATTGAAGAATGATGGTGAAATATATGGGTCATAATTTTGGAGTTAAATTGATTTTGTTGATTTGGTTGATGTTAAAAAATTTATTAGAGTGAAATTGGAAGAGACAAGCTTAGATATGTTGTTGGTGCCTATGAGATGTCATTGAAGGGCTTGTATGAGGAAATAAAATTTAACTTCTAAATATTGATGGGAATTATTGGTTTAGGAATTCACCTGTAGATCTGTAAAGGAATTTAATTATGGGCTTGTATGCAATTATTTGTATATTTGGAGTTTGTTTGATTTTTTGTGAATTGTTGAAGGTTTTAAATTGAAGAGGTAGAAGTAATGCACCTAAGGTAAGTGGTGCAAAGATTGGGAGAGAACTCGTATTCCAAGAAAATAGAATGGCATGGCTGAAGTTTTATGAAGGAAGTTAGAGGAATGAATGATAATGCTTGAACTAACTTTAAATCATAAATTTGGTTTTGAATTTTAGATGATGATTGATAGAGATTGTGTTATAAATTAAAAAGTTATTAAATGTATATGTTTATACTTTATAGGGTGTGTGGAAGAACAAGACCCTGACAAGAATTAAAAGAAGAATACTTTCGGGAATTTAGAACTTTAACGTGTAAGTGAATAGCATTTCTTATAATTATTTATTAAAAATCTTTTATTGAAATATTTCATTTTTATGAATTATGTTAGTTTTAGAAATTTTGAAACAATGATGAAGGATAGTTACATTATGATTTGTGCATTTTTTTAAGAAATATATTTCTAATGTTGATGAAGGCAACTTTGTTTATTAAATTTTAAAATTTCTTAGTTACATGATTAGTGTAAGTTTGTACATTCGCTATGATGTATCAATTTAGCAAGTTTCATATATTTGAAACAATTCATGCGAGTTTGATCTTGAGAATGAAAATTTAACTTTAAAAATAATTATTTCTCTCACATGTTTGAAACGGATTTCTAAAAGGACTCTATACAGAACACTGCTGCTAGCAGCAGTTTCGTTAGCCCATAGCGCTGTGGTTAAACACTAGCTAGTTTGTTTCATGAGCTTTGCTCTCACATTTGGTATTTGTGGGTTTTGTACTTGCGTTTGTTTTTGTGGCATAAGCCTCATTTAGTTATTTACCCTAGTGGACTGTGTGTCCACGTTTGTTTCATAGCTTTGGCTCTGTTTGGTTACTTGCCCTCGTGGACTGGTGTGTTCGCATTTGTTTTTGTGGCATAAACCGCGTTTAGTTATTTACCCTCGTGGACTGTATGTTCACGTTTGCAACATGTTCTGTTGAGTTCTCAAAAATTTTAAATATTGATTAAAGTATTTTCCAAAATTTACATGATTTTGGCTAACAAATTTACCACTTTAAATTATATGTGAGTAAATTGTTTTCTTTAAGCATTATGGCATAAATTGTTTTCAACTTATTCATATTTTACAATTAAGGTTATGACTTACAGGTTTATAAAATTTTGAGGAATTATTTTTATTAGTTGGCACCATTATTAGAGTTTGTTGATTTTAAATTTTAAGAATTTTACCATGGGAATGCTATTTACTGGAAAACTTACTTTGGTCTCAAATTTGTTAGCTGATGCTGATTCCCCTTGACCTCTGAAGGGCAACCTAACTATAGTGGGTGGAAATTTTTGATTGGTACTGTTGCTTTTAATGTAAATATATAATCTGTATGTCTTTTTGATTTAAAAGAAAGAGTAGATGCTCCACATAGATTGTTGGTAGACTTTATTTTGGTTTGTACATTGGTTGCTGGCTAGAAAGAGCTATGCTCCTAATTTATACCACTATTAGTAGAAATTTTTGTTATAGAATTTTCAGAAGATCCTAATTACAGGGGAGATTCTGCCGAAATTTCTACAAAAATGTCGACACTTTCTTATGACAATTAGCTTAATATATATATATATATATATATTATTTTAATTCTCATGAAATTTGATTAATTTTCATTCTTTTCTTTGTAAAAATGGAATAAAGTTTCATTTCAGGGCTTATAGGGATGTGTGAGTGGTTCACACCCGTGCCGGTCACCCTCTATTTTTGGGGCATAACATATTTGGTTATATACTCTATCAGATAGCTGGATGGAGCTGTGCTCCTAATTTTATTGATATTCTGCTTGAAAAAAAAATTGTATTGTAGGATTTTTGGGAAGTCATACTTGTAAGTAGCTGTTGCCAAAATTCTTACAAAAATATTAAGGCATTTGTTTAAATATAAATTGTCCAGGATTTCCTAATTTTAATATAAATATAAATAAGAATTAAACAATTTTCTTAAATTAAGGCTCTAAGGATATGTGTTTTGTACACTTATTCCATGCCGGTCACTCCTATATTTCAGGGTGGGACATTCAGAGCCAAGAGGTTAATGGGATTGATATCAAATGGCGTCCAAATCGTTGTGGAGAGTTCGAAGGAGAGGAAGGTAACTGCTGGTTTGAAAATGCCACAAATATGGTTCTTTGTAGTGATTATCATTTAAATCCCCTTTTTGCAGCGCTTCTAGGCAATCACGTACGGTATTCTTTTTTCTTGAAAAAAATAAGAAATAAGATGAAAAAAAAAAAAGATTATAATGGTAGGAATCTAACAGAAACTTCTTATGTTTTGAATTTTGACAACGCAGATTTGACTAGTGGTGGGATGTATACAGGTGAGCGTAGCGAAGTTTTCTCCTTGTTGGAAAATTTTCAGTCCTTTATTTTCATTGTTCGTGCGTGCTTTATGAATTTCTTATACTTGTTAGTTTCATTGATACATAGCTATAAACAATTAGGAACATGTGCATATCAATGAAATTCTCCAATTCTCTATTTAGTAAATTGAATTTGAGTATGATACTTGTCGAATTTGAATGGTCAAATTAAATTTGTAACTTTACCTTTTCGTCAACAATTCTATCAATTTGCAGACCTCTGTTTATGTTGGCATATTCAAAAGATTGATGTATGGGGTTGGAAACTCTAAAAATAATCTAACAAATAAAAATCAGCTTGGTTCCATGTGCTGGACTCATAGATCTGATCATATAAATCTAATTGTATGGGAGAATTGATTTAATTCTAATAATCGAATCTTGTGCAGTGGTTTTATGATCTGTATCTAAATTTGTACTAGGTGGCCCTTGTGCTTTTATCTTGTTGATTCGCCAGAGGAGAAGAAGGCATCAATCTTATGACAACAATGTTGAGGACTTCCTCTAAAATATGAGTAACTTGATGCCCATCAAGTACTCTTACTCAAAGATCAAGAAACTCTACCACAGAAAAACCTTATACCTAACACTTATTTTTTCCAATACTTGATGGTTTTTAACCATTATGTAAGGGCGCAACATATATTAAAACAACCTTACTTGATAGTTTTTAGTTGTCAATTATTTAAGAATTACTTGACAGTTATTTGAAAAAAACCATTAAGTATATGAATAAAACTTTGCTTCTTTGTAACAAATACCTGACGCTGCCATAAATACTTGACATTTATTTCCAAATAATCGTTAATTATTTACAAATACTTGATGCTTATTTGAAAACAAATGTCAAGTATATAAATACTTAATGGTTATTTCGAAATAGCCATCAAATATTTATAGTATTTTTTTTAAATAGGGGGGTTGCCTATATATAGATATAGATACAAGACAAAATAGCCAGCCAGCAACCAAAATGTTTCTAATAATATTTACTATCTAGGTAACATTAAAATTCCTATACTTTTGGCCTTAAAACCTAAAAAATCTATACTCAACTTATTTGCAAACTAAAGTTTCAAAACTAAGTGGCCTATCTCATAAAAATTGGCCAAAAAATGAATATATATACGTAAATAACTATTGTATAGGCTTAACCACTGTCACTACCAACATATTGAAAACATATTGGGCCACTCTTCAAGGATTTCTTCTACATGTGCAGTTGTATAACGAACGCAGTGGATGTCCTTAAAGTACTATAAGCACAATCACAACAATTTCAAGTTAATAGGTAGCTAATTAAAATTGGTTAAAATTTATAATTGAAGTGTAATTAAATTTAATATATATACCTTGTCAAATAATATGGTAGGGGCATAGGTGATAATGTCCTTCATGAATTTCATTAAGTAATAACCACAGTCATTGCTCTGATCTGGCTAAAGTGGACACTACAAAAAAAAACATACATATCAATGAAATTGTAAAACATGACATAGTTTCTTGATTAAAAACTTAGCCAATTAAATGAATACCTTAACAATGACCCACTTCTCTGAAGATTTGAATGACCTCATCTTAGGGGACACATTCTTGTTAGTCACAGTGCGATACAACACCACAGCTCTAAGAAGGAAGTACAGAATGAATGTGAGAAATATATATGTATGAAAACTAAAAATAATAAGAAATAATTAGTGAAAAAATTCAACTTACTCATTAAAAAGTACCACCATATCTTTTGTGTTGCTTGGTTCTCCATTAAGGGGATCGAGATATCATATTTTTGGAGTAATGAAAGTAATTCTTCTTTCAAATATCCAAGTAACTCAGTGAAGCTTGCATCACTCCATCTATATTTTGCCTTCATGTTGTATAATTTTAACACTGCTGACAATTTTGATTTACTATAACTAGCATATAACAGTGTCTCCACATCACTTTTCAACTTGTCAAACATTTTTGAGAAATCCTCGAGGTCCTCTTCAATCACCTTGGCCATCTGTTCGAGCTAATCTTCTTCAAGTGTGCATGCATTAAAATCATCAAGAGATGATGCACAGCTCTCACTATGCTTTTGGCTACAACCAATATCATTCCTTGTCTCACTATACAGTGTTTAACACTTGTAACTTTAATCCATACCATTAATCACTAAGTGTTCTTCACAAGTATCTAGACTAACCTGCCTCACAAGATTGCACTTTAAACACAAGCAAACAATTCTAGCAGGGTCCTCCGTATGCTTAACTGCAAACTTAATAAAATCTACCACCCCATCCCAATATTCCTTGAATAGACAATTGGCAGATGTCCATTCCTTTTCCATAGTTCCTAGAAAGATTAAGAGAAAAATATAATTAGTGACTTTGATTACTCCTAGATAGTGGGAGAGTAGATACAAGGATCAATCAATCAATAAGTCACCAACCACATGTTTGCACATTCTCTCTTTAATCTTGTTTAAAACTAATAATTACATTTTAATGCTAGCCATTGAAATAATTTTGGTAGCATAACGATTTAAAAAAGAGTTTCCCAGACTTAATGAGTTAAAAAAGAGAGTTTCTCAAGTTTTAAACCCTCTATTTATTCAAAAATTTCATCATTCACAAGTACTCATGTAATATTTATATCCAATTAAATTATCCATAGCAACAATTAATACAAAAATGTCATCCTAAAAATCTAATAGAACTCAATCATACCTAATTAAGTTATCCAACAACAAAATTATCACCATCACCACAACAAGGGAAGCAAATTTTTAACAAATTCATATAATGATCAACAGTAAAATAATTTTTATATAATCCTGAATTTAATTTCATAACTAACAAAGAATCAAAAACCAAAAGCTATATACATCCAGTCACAAGACCATAGTTCTAATGAACAAAAATTTTATATTCCAATCGCTAATTCCAATCAACTCCCTAATTATAATCAATTGACAACAATGTCATAAGAAAGAAGGATAGGCCAACTTACTTGAGAGAGGTAGAGCACGAGGATGAAGAAGAAGAGTAGGGGGAGGAGGAGAGAAGATAACATTTTCCACTGTTAAAAAGCAAGGAGGGGAATTTCAAGTCGGATTTACCCTAAATACTAAACCTAAAAATGAATTAAATAGATGAAAGAGAAATTAAACTTACATATGGAGGACGGAGAATGAATCCAAAATAAAGTCTTGGATGAACGAACCACACACAAACCTCAAAAAATGGAACCCACAAGCAAAACCTAAGAAAAATTGAGTGTAAATCTATGTTTTTAGGCAATTTTATGACGGAAAATGATTTTCAAGCAGCCTAGGAATGTTTTTAAAAATGTTCCAGTTGTAGAAATGTAAATTTAAAAAGTAATACTTGACGGTTATTTTGTAATAACCGTCCAGGATCTCTTAGTTAACACTTGTTACTAAGACAACCATCAAATAAAAAGCAAACATACTTGATGATTCTAAATAAACAAGCGTCAAGTAATTAATTTTTTTCATTTTTCTATTTAAATTATATATTTAAACCTTGTTTATAAATAATTGTCAAGTATATTAAAATATACTTGACGGTTATATGTAAACAAACATCAAATATATTTATAAAAAAATAATCATAGATAAAGATATATTTGATGGTTATGGCAATATAACCGTCAAATATATACTAAATACTTGACAGTTGTTCAAAACAATTATCAAGTATTTAGCGCCTTTTTTATTTGTCGTTTTACACTTATAACCGTCAAATATAGGGTATCATATTTAGCTTATTTTGTTGTAGTGAAAATGACTAATGGCTTCAAACACAAGTTAGGTGAAGGAGGCTGTGGTTATGTCTATAAAGGTAAGCTTTGAAGTAATCACGATGTCACTGTTAATTTACTGGAAAGTCTAAAGCCAATGTCCAGGATTTCATCAATGAAGTTGCCACTATTAGCAATGTTCATCATGTCAATGTGGTGCAGGTGATTGGGTTTTGTGCTAAAAGAAATAAGCAAGCTCTTGTTTATGAGTTCATGTCTAATAGATCTCTTGATAAGTACATATTCTTGGAAAAACAGGAGAACAAGTCCATCAATTTCAAGAAAATATTTAATATATCTCTTGGGATTGCTCGAGGAATTGAATATTTACATCAAGGATGGGATATGCAAATTCTACACTTCAATATCAAACCTCACAGTATCCTTCTTGATGAGAACTTTAATCCAAAAGTTATATATTTTAGATTGGGAAAATTGTACTTATAAGATAATAGTATTGTATCTTTAAAAAAATGCAAGGGAACATTCGGATACATGGCACTTGAATTTTTGTACAAAAACATTAGAGGGATATCGCGTAAAGTTGAACTTTATAGTTTTAGGATGTTGCTGATGGAAATGGCAGGGAGAAGAAAGAACACAATTTTCATTGAACATTCTTAGCAAAAATATTTTGCCAAATAGGTCTATGACCAGTTTGAGGAATCAATAGATGAGGGCAATACCTCATATGAGGAAAGGAAAATTACAAAGAAGATGATTACAATAGCTTCACATTGCATATAGATGCTGTAATATTCTCACTCCATTAAACACAGTTAACCAATATAGCTCATGGTAATCAAAGACTTGACTCAAAAAGGTGATTACTAAGCTTTAGTTCAAATTCAAAGGATCCCAAGTTTTCTAAATAACAATGAGTTTAAATCAATCAAAATCCTTCATATCAGAGTAAAATAAATTTCAAAAGCATGAGATACCTCAGAGGAGTGAAAGAAGTCAAAAACGATTGAAAAACAAAAATTATACTGTGTTATAGGGCAATGCACCGTGGTTCGTGCACACTGTGCCACGGCCTGTTGCTCTCTGCGCCATGTACTGCAGCTCAGGCGCCATGCGCCATGGCGTGTTGCATGAAAAATTAGCAGATTCTCCTGTCATTTGACAGCAGAATCGGGGAACTTCCAATGCACCCCAATTCTTTGTTCGACATCCGATTGACGTAATCTAGGTATCTATGGAAAGCTCTTAACATGAACTAATTAGTGGCATAGGTTTCACTTCCAAAACAAGTTACACTAGGAAGTTGGATACCCAAACACATTTTAACCACTTTTCACAACTTTTACACAAAATGAGTGTCCAAAGCCTTTCCTAACACTTGGACCATGTCCATTAGACTGAGGACTACTAGTACAACATGTTACACACATTGAAATCACAGTATAACAAAAATTCACTCCTTAACCGCTTTTTACCAAAAATAAAGGGGGAGGTAAATTGGCATTACTTTACACCCAAAACAATCAAAACATGCTTAAATATCTATTTCTATACTTGAACTAGTAATTTAGCCCTATTAACAAATATATATCAATATACACAAAGACTCAAGGCCTAAAATATAAATCTAACATTCCCAACAATAAAATGGTACAAGTGTGATGGCATGTATCCTAGAATTGGCAAACATATACTATTACACAAAATAAACTAAGCTAGAGGCATACAAAAAGGAATATGCTAATTCCTAGCCTCTTTAGCCTTCTCCCTCTCAGCACTAGAGCTAGAGCTTGAAAAGTGTTAAATAAAAGGGGTGAGTCTAGCCACTCAATAACCAAGCTTAAACATACTCTATACAGTTATATATCAATTATAAACTAAGTACATGCATAAGGAAC